TTAGTGAAAGTGGCAGGCAAAGAATTTGGAGCTAAAATCGTTTCAAATTTTAAATACCCAATTTCGAGTTGGAAATCAGTTTTGCAATTTGTCCTGCATTCAGCCAAGATGTTTGGAAAAGATTTGAGCTAATCTTGGAGATTAAGATATTCTCATCAGGCTTTGCTTGATGGGAATATCTTAATGCAAGCTGATCTCTGTACATGTTTCTTGTTGGCATTTACATGTTCTCCAAGCGACAATTCCCAACATCTCTCTTAAGACAATAGGCGCTGTAGTTTAAATATACGAAGAACGGTTGCAGGAATTGGGTTTGGTCCATCTAGAGAAAAGAAGGACTAACGGGGACATGAGAGCAGTCTTCCAGTATTTGAGGGGCTGCCCCAAAGAAGAGGGGATCAAATTATTTTCCAAAGCCCCAAAAGGCAAGACAAGAAACAATGGATGGAAACTAATCATGGAGAGAAGCAACCTAGAATTAAGAAGAAACTTCCTAACAGTGAGGACAACTAACAAGTGGAATGAGTTTCCTTCAGACTTTTGTCAGTGCTCTAACACTGGAGGCTTTTAAGAAGAGATTGGACAGCCATTTGTATGAAATGGTATAGGGCAGTGATGGCTAACCTTTTTACCATTGTGTGCCAAGGGGGGGAGGGGGGGTCATGCACACGTGTGCCCACACCCATAATTCTATGTGCCCCACCCCCGCTTGAGCGGGGATTAGAGTAGATCCCTTCCAACTCTGTTATTCTTTTGTTCTGTCCCCGTTTCTCTTTTTGTTTTCCAAACTACAAAAAGAAAAGAAAAGAAAAGATAGGCACTGTAGTTTTAAATTCAGAGAAAATTTCCATTGTATCCTAAAAGTCAAGCTTTCTCACAACAGGAACCTCAGCTCCTCAATAGTTTCTGCTTGTTTTTTTTTTTCTTTTTCCCTAGTCCACAAAGCTGTTTAGCTGCCTGAAATGGCGGAAAGCATGTGACACATCCTTCCTCCTCTTCGCGGCAGTCTTCATGTTCATCCATCTGGTGATTTTTCCTTCCAAGTACGTTTCAGGAATTTATGTAAAAATGGTGGGGCTTGGATGGCCCAATTGCAGTGCCATCTGGACTTTTTTTTTTTTTGTTGACACTCTGCACACCTCACAGTTTGTCATTGCTACAAACAAATAGGATTAGTGTATATAATATAGCCCATCAAACTAAGCCAGAGGTAGGAGGTTACCTCCAAGGCAGGAAACCACCTGGGTTGTAGGAGTAGACAATGGTGCTTTTAGGAAAATAAAGGTTGGTGATTGCAGAAGGGGAAAGGGGGCTCTGAAGAATTAAACAGTTGCAAATAGCCAACAAAACATCTTTTTGGGTAGTCCCTGTTTAGCAACTGCCTCGTTGAGCAACCGTTTGCAGTTACAACGGTGATGTAAATGTCTCCTGGCCACCTGTTCTCTCACTGGTAACTTTGCAGTTCCATAAAACAAAGGAAAGCTGAAGTTGGATCATAAGCACAGGAAGAGTTTCACTTAGCAATCGCTTTGCTTAACGGCCAAGATGTAGGTCCAAATCGTGGTCTCTAAGGGAAGATGACCAGTACTAGGGTTTGAGCTCCAAGCTTGGCAGTTTGGTTGCAAACGTTTTGTCACCATTCGAGGAGACGTCGTCACTGCTCTTTGAATTGTCTTTAAATACTTCTTTTTTCAATGTGATGCAAAATGGTATGAATTTTGTTTGTTACTTCTGAGTCACAGTCTGATTATTGATTGGCTGTTGTTACCGAGACATGGTGTTTGGTTTAAATAGAGCCTTGGTGGCGCAGCAGACTAAAGTGCTGTTAAGTAGCACCAGCTGCCTGCAATTACTGCAAGTTCAAATCTCACCAGGCTCAAGGTTGACTCAGCCTTCCATTCTTTCGAGGTAGGTAAAATGAGGACCCAGATTGTGGGGGCAATAAGCTGACTTTGTATAAAAAAGAACACCACTTGGGGGGCGGGGGGCAAAGCCCTACTAAGCAGGTATATACACAAGTATGAAGGCTATTGCTTAACACATTGTGTTAAGTTGGGTGAATGAGGACTCAACAAGCCAGGCAGTGAGTGACAACAGCTCTTTATTGTAGGGTGAGAATCCAGCAACTGACCAGGGGAAACAGCTCCCTTTATATACCTTGCAGCTGTGGTGGTCAGCCAATCAGCTGACGGTCAGTTAATTCAAACTGCCTGCCCAAAATTTACATACATAACACTTTTCCCCTCCCAGAAGTCACTTGGGGTGGACATTAGCATACATAGTCTCTCAGGTGACTAGGGCGTGCCCACACCCTAGTTGACCTGCGCAGTTCAGTCAGAGGTGTGGCGTCGAGCAGGTCGGAGGAACTCCCTGTTTCTCCTTGCTCTGCCAATGGAACCTCCAAGAATTCGTTGTGGGCGAATTCTTCGGCTGGTCGATCTTCCGTGATTGGGCAGCGCTGGATCTCGGAGCCGACAGCTAAATCCTCCGCTCGACTCGGGCTTGAGTTAGGTCTGGAGTTCGGCTGGTAGTTAGGGAGCAGTTCGTTGAAGATGTCTTCTGTGTCGATGGTTAAACGCTTCCGTAGCTGATCAATGTGCCGCCGCCAAATCCTCCCATCTCCCATGTCTACCCTATGAGACTTGGGCCCGGTGACCTCTGTGATTGTCCCGGTTTCCCAGAGGGGCCTGGTCCCGTAGTTTCTAGCGAACACTGGCGTCCCTACTGTGAACTCTCTAAGTCTTTTCTCTGCTCCTCTGAAGTTGTCAGTGGAATAAAGGGTGTAGCCTGTCTAGGACTCCCCGGAGCTTTCTTCCTATTAGAAGCTCTGCTGGGCTCCTGCCTATGGCGGTGCAAGGTGTGGCGTGTTGGGCTGTTAAGAACTTGTCTATCCGTTCTTGCCAGTCCCGGGGCTTAGGCATGAGATGGCTTCCTTAGCTGTTCTCACAAATCTCTCCGCCAATCCATTGCTAGCCAGATGGGCGGAGAGTACGTGTCTGATCCCCACTCTGCTAGGTACCCCTCAAACTGCGTGGCCGTGAAGTGGGGCCCGTTGTCTGAGACTAAGGTGTCCGGTAGGCCATGGGTGGCGACCAATTGCCTTAACTCTCTAGTGACAGTGTCAGTGGTAGTGGTTTTCATGAGTCTGATCTCCCACCACTTTGAGAAAGTGTCCACGACGACCATGAATAGCTGCCCATGGAATGGGCCAGCGAAATCTATATGGATCCTGGACCAGGGACCCTGGGGCCGTTCCCATTCTCTGACCGATGCTGTGGGGGGATCTGGCCTCGACTCCTGGCAGGGCTGGCACTTCCCCACCCACTCAGTGATGTCCTTATCCATTAGGGGCCACCAAACATAACTCCTAGCTAGCCTCTTCATCCTCATGATCCCAGGGTGCCCCTGTTGTGGCCCCGCCCTCTGAGCTTATCTCATTGGAGGAAGAAGGCTCCAAACATGAGGGAGAGGAGTCAGCCAGGCCTCCCTCTCCAGGCCCCTCCCCTCTGGCACTGTCTCAGGTGCCGGCCGAGGGAGAGGAGAGGAGATTAGCCAGGAGCCAGGTGTCTCTGATGAGGGCGAGGAAGGAGAAGCGTTGTTCCTGGATGCACGCCAACGAAGGCGTGATAAACGGTTGCAGCAGTTAAGGAGGCGTGCTAGGGATTAGAACTGAGTCACTGGACCACACCCCAGAGACTATATAAGAGAGGGTGGTGGCTGGTAAAACTCCGTGATGAACAAAAACTAACTTTGGCTAGTCACTTGAACAACATCTGAAGCTGCTGAAGGGATATTGTTTTGCTGGACTATTTGCAATGCGTATGTAATTTTGTGTTATCTGTTGCAGTAAAGCTGTTGGCAGACGGTGCTTATATTGTTGCCAACTTTGAGATAATGACCTGTGTGCATGCCAAGTACTTTCTTAACCCTCGGCTGGCTGTGTTTGTGTGTGTGTGTAGACGGGGACAGATCAGCCCCTCATGCAACAGCTTCAACACTTTTTCCCTTAGGCACAAGGGAACAATGACCCGATCATCCCACAATAGACAACCCCCTTGCATTGTTAGTTCGCCCTTTTTGTTAGCGAAATGTTTGAATTCCCCGCCCTCAGTCTTTTCCGGCCACCCCCTCGTGACCCAACTCGTGATTTTCCTGATCACGTTGTCTCTGGTTGAAGCCCTTGCCACCTCTGCTGAAGTGATGGGCCCCAAGTCCAAAACGTCAATTAGCAGGATGGGAACTTTGGGTGTGGGGTCCTCTATCCTGTCCGGTAACGGGCAACGGCTGAGGGCATCGGCGTTGCCCATGCTCACCCCTGGTCGATGTACCAGGCGATAGGAGTAGGCTGCCAGGAAGATGGCCCAGCATGTCATCCTGGGAGACAGGGCTGCCGGTGTGGGTCGGTCCCCTGCGATGAGACCCAGGAGGGGGCAATAGTCTGTGATGAGGTCAAAGTCTCTGCCAAATAAGTATTCGTGGAACTTCTTGACTCCTGAGACCGCGGCCAGGGCCTCCTTGTCAAGTTGACTGTAGTTCCTTTCGGTGCTTGAAAGAGTCCGGGAGTAGTAGGCGATGGGTGCCTCTAGGCCGTTTGGTAGTCTATGGCTCAGGACGGCCCCATGCCGAATGGGGACGCGTCACAGACTAGAACTAGGGGAAGCATAGAATTTACTGAATTAGAAAACTCTTGGCCGACAGGAGTTTCTTTACAACAGCAAACGCGGTAGCTTCAGCCTTCCCCCAAACCCATGCGGACTTTTTGGCCAACAGTCTGTGCAGGGGCTCTGCTACTGTTGTCTTGTCCTTTAGAAAGATTGCGTAAAAATTCAATAGTCCCAGGAATGCCTGTAGTTCCACCTTGTCTTTGGGGATGGGGCCCTCTTGGATCACCCTAATCTTGCTCTCGGTGGGGTGTATGCCGGTTCCGTCTACCCGATACCCCAAGAATTCCATAGAAGGGACTGCGATCATGCACTTGTTGAATTTGACCCTGAGTCCTGCACTTCTGAACTTCCCTAGGACTTGCCTCAGTCTCTCTCCCAGTTGCTGTTCGTCTTCTGCGGTGACGAGCACATCATCAAAATACGGGACCACCCTGGGGATCCCCTGTAACAGTCGCTCCATGGTGCTCTGGAACAGTCCTGGAGCTATGCTGACTCCGAATTGGAGTCTGGTACACTTGAAGGCACCTCTATGTGTTACTATAGTCTGTCCCTCTGTGGTAGCGCAATCTACCGGCAACTGCTGGTATGCCTGCGCAAGATCAAGTTTAGCGAAGATCTTGCCTGGCCCTAGGGAATGCAGCAGATGGTGTACGATCGGAACCGGGTAAGCGCTCTGTTGCAGGGCCTTATTGATTGTACATTTATAGTCTGCGCAGATGCGCACAGACCCGTCCGGCTTAACGGGGGTCACAATTGGGGTCTCCCATCGGGCATGATCGACTGGCACTAACACCCCCTGCTTGATTAATTTGTCCAGTTCCACATCGATCTTGGGCTTTAAGGCGAAAGGTACCCTCCTGTGTTTCAGTTGGATGGGGGCAATATTGGGGTCGAGGTTGAATGAAATAGGGGTCTCCACATACTTGCCAAGCCGCTCGTCAAACACGTCCTGAAACTCTTGCATCAGGTCGTCCTTCAGGGTACTTCGCACGTTGCGGACTCTGGTGAATCCCATGCCCAGGCTCTGAACCAGTCCATGCCCAGGAGGCTTGGGAGCTTTCCGCTGACCATGGTGAGGGGAAGCTTCTCCCAGAATTCCCCATACTCCAGCTGGAACTTGCTGATTCCTTCCACGGGGATGCAGTTCCCCTGGTAATCGCGCAGTCCCAGCCGCTGGTGCCGTAGTTGCCGTCTCTGGATGCTGGGGATGGCCTTCTTTAGCTTGTCTCAAGACATGATGGTAATTGGGGATCCAGTGTCGATCTCCATTGCGCACTCATGCCCCTCGATGTCGACTGTCGTGTAGATCTTCTCCCTGGGGGATGTGCAGGTCCGGCCGATTCGAATGGTGCAGGCCTTGAGATCTTCGGATTTCGCGCTCCTCCTGTAGCCGCCCTTCGGATTGGTCTCGTTCGCTGCGCTGTCTCTGATTGGCTAGTGTTCCTCTGTGGCTTGTAATGGGGGTTCTGCTTGGCTCTGCAGACTCTAGCGATATGCCCCTTCCGCTCACATTGCCGGAAAATGGTGTCTCAGAACTTGCAGGTCTGGCACCGATGGGGTCCCCCACAACTGGCACAGGCATCTCAATGGCCTCGCCGGTCCTGCTGGTCCTGTTTGGTCCGGCAGACCTCCTCGTCCAACTCTTCCTCGCTCCCCGTGCCTACAGTTTCCTGGTGAACCGGGGCTGACTTCTGTGCTGTTCTGCTCTGCGCCGTCCCCTGTAGTCTCTCGGCTGTCTTGGAGGAGGATTCTTGAGCCCTCGCCTCGT